TTTATTTATTTAGTTAGTTTATTTAATTGTGCGTGACAATTTGAAAAATTGTTCTAAACGTTCTAAACTATGATAAAAACACAAATTTCGCAGGAGTTCGTAGGTAATCGTAATCGTTTGAGAAAGTATGAAAAAGATCTCGAAATTTTCGATTAACGAAGATTGCACTTAAGAGAAATCAATTAACGTATTAAACGTTGAAATCTCGTTTTTAAATCTGCTAACGTTAAAAACGTATATGCAATAATATTTCGTATTAATTCGTCGCCTCTGGTAACATCGAGTCACAATGTAGAAACCTTTGATATTCGATGCTTTTGGAGGAAATTAATTTCAGAAATTCAGAATTGTTCATTAAATAGTTATTAACCCTGTCAGTGTCCATAGATCAATCAGAGGAATTTCTCAGAAATATAAAAACGTATGCACTTTTTGCTTGCACAAATATCGTACACACCTTACCACTCGAAGAAACTTTTGCTAAGATTTTAAAAGCTTCATAAAAAATATCGATTGCTTGATAAATAAATTCTTCCTTTTCGACGATTTTCATTAATTGTTTCTTACTTTCCAACAGTTTTACGCAGATCGTACTTTTATTTTTCAATTTCACCTTACTTTTCCATACCACTTTTCACATCAAAATAAATATCGCAATCTTCGTCAATTTTTCGCTCTATTCGTAGTCGTATTAACAGCGAAATTTTCGTGAAATTTAATTGAACAGAGGACAACGAAACTGCACGGAGATCGATCGAAAGTTTCGACGGAAATTTCTATCGATACAGTTGATACGGTTACCTTAAAACTTCGCAAAGTCCACTCTCGTGTAGAACATAGACAGCTATTATCGAGTTGATAGCCAAAACAATTGTGGTGTACGCCAAAGTACCAATGTACGAGTGAACCAAAAGAGGAAAGTAGTATTTGTCCACGTCGACGAAATGTTCAACACGAAACGCCAACGGTCGGTCGTCGGATATATTGCAGAGTCCTAAAGCGTCAGCTGCATTCAGCAGCAATGGCATCGCCGCAAACGGTGTTATTAATCCGAATAAGAAAGCTGTGGTCAACGTAACGAATTAAAGTTGCGGAAATTTGAAAGCATCGTTTCGTCTGTTTTCCTTTCCCCTTCATTTTTCTCTTATTTTTCCAATTTTCTTACTTCCTTGGACGCTCGTAAATTTCGTAAAACGTATTTCTCATATTTATCTTCGCTAAATGAAATCTGAATTTCGAGCGACGCGAGACAAAGATAACAAATTCCACTGCTCATCGAATTTTGTCCATTTTTTTTTTTTTTTTTTTTTTTTTTTTTTTTG